TTGAATGAACTTGCCTAGAAAGAAAGAATTATGCAGTGCTCTTAATTGGAAGCTGCAGTATCAGTCATCTTGGCAAATCAGAGAGATTGGCACAGAAATTCAGTGCCTTGTATGTCCCGATCAGCGGAAATTATTAGCTAATTAAATTATAAGCAGTACTTTAATAAATCCCATTCAGTCGTCTTTGGACAGAGTATTCCACAATGATGACTTCAGATATGAGAGCATTTGGGGCAACAGAATAGAATGGACACCTATCTTTTATTAGAGATAGATGGCTTGGGCGCAATCTTTATCTTGCTCTATGTGGATTTTGTTTTAATCAGAAGAGTTATCAAGCAAGCTTTGCAGTGTTGAAGGAATTGTGGTTTAGCTAAGAATGAACCCCCTAAATTTGCCAAATCCATAGTATTACTAGCTAGAGAAAAAACATTTGAAGAAACGCACCCAAGGAGTCAGGGTAAACACTTCATTTATTTCATTGATTTTAGTTGAGGTGACTCCTGATTGGATTCCAATTCATGGGTAAGTAACAGGGGTAGCAACATTAAATCCTCTTTCTTCTGACATCCAAATCTATTCTAGAATTGTGGGGATGTTCCAGAAGAATGAATACAGTAGTATGGGAATGGCAAGGGAAAATTTAGGGAAAAAATTCTCTCTTCCTTTTCTACTTCCACCAGTTTGAAGCATTGTTAGATTGCATTTTCCCCATAAAGAAAACAAGTTTTGTACACAGAGCAACTGGTTGCACATTATTGTGGCAAGGGCCAGAGCTCTTTGGTAAAATAAGTGAAGTGTGAACAGAAGGCATCTTCAATTAATGTCAGCTACCAGGACTGAGGAAACATTCTGCTTATTAACCTTCAGAGCTCCTGCCTGCCACAAAATGCAACTTCCTCTGTCTCTATTTTCTTCTTCTTTTGCCAAAGATTTTAGACAGTGGTGTGGCGAGGTAATTTTATTCTCTGCATTTAATAGTTTTATGGCTCTGTAAAGGACCTTGGAATACTCACCTCTAATGATCTGAGTGCTAGAGCCCACTGCAACTACATAGCCAAAAAGGCATTAAGAGTTGTTAACCTAATCCTACGTAGCTTTTTCTCTGGCAATATCACACTACTAACCAGAGCATACAAAACATTTGCTAGACCAATACTCGAATACAGTTCATCAGTCTGGAACCCTCATTACGTATCTGATATTAGCACAATTGAGAAAGTCCAGAAATATTTCACAAGAAGAGTTCTTCACTCCTCTACTCATTGTAGAATACCTTATGCCACCAGACTTGAAATTCTAGAACTAGAAAACCTTGAATTACGCCGTCTTCGGTCTGACTTAAGCATGGTATATAAAATCATACATTGCAATGTCCTACCTGTCAATGAATACTTCAGCTTCAACCATAACAACACAAGAGCACACAATAGATACAAACTCAAAGTAAACCGCACCAAACTTGATTGCAGGAAATACGACTTCAGCAATAGAGTAGTCAATGTCTGGAATACTCTACCCGACTCTGTAGTCTCTTCCCCAAACCCCAAAAACTTTAACCTTAGACTGTCTACCATTGACCTCACCCCTTTCCTAAGAGGTCTGTAGGGGGCGTGCATAAGCGCACCAACGTGCCTACCATCCCTGTCCTATTGTTTCTCTATTCTTTTATTTTTCTTATATGTACCCATCTCATGTATTCACAACTATGTATACACTTATACTTATTATCTTGTAAACAATTGACAAATCAAATAAATAAAATAAATAAATAAATAAAAAATTATCCAGTCACCCAGCTTTACAGTGGACACGAGGAACATAGTAAATATTTCTTCTTCATTATGCCATGCATTTTTCTTGTTTGTCCATTACAAGGACACTTGTAATGCACTTTTTAAATAAACCTTGAGTTTTTAAGCATAAACAAAAGGAACACACTCTGTGCTCTTTTGCATTTAATTCACTTTCTTATTGCTGCTTGTTACTATAGATGTAAATGTAGAAAAGACCAATCACATTTTTTAAAAAAAACTAGACTTGGGGAGTTCCCATCTGAGAAAAATAATGGATGGGGTGATATGGAAGAGGCATTTAAAATCATGTGTGGCGTGGAAAAGTAGATATACAGAAGATTTTTTTTCCCCTTTACACAGTGTTAGAAGTTCAGGTTCTATATTGAAGCTAAACATGAGCAGATCCAGGATCAATGAACAAAAGCATTGTTCTGTGTAATGCGTGACTTCAGAATTGATTTCTGTCAGATGTAGTGATGGCCACTGCAGTGAGGAGATTTTAAACAGAAACCAGGCAGAACCAGGCCCGACTTGGTTGATCTCAAAAAGCTAAGCAGAGTCTCTCCTGGCTCAAAGTTGGACACATCTAATTGCGTCTATGTTCATGAAATCACTAAAAGTCAGAGAAATTCATTGACGATAGGGCTGGTCATGACAACTGGCTTAGATAGCTCTTATTATCTTCTAAGTTATGCCCATCACCCCTCAATATCATGATTGAAGGGGAGCCTTAAAGGCAGTGTTTTCTCTTCCCAAGTGTACCTGGCTACCATTAGGCTTCATATTGTTCTTTAAAAGAAGATAGATATTCGATACATAGACATGGACATATAGATATAATTGCCTAGCTGGCAACCCCAGACTACATAGGTTACATTGTCTGTCTGTCTGTCTGTCTATCTTTGAAAACAGATAAAGGGAAGAATGATGTTATAAGGGTTGCATTTGCCTTTAACAAAGTAGAATGCTTGGTTTCAGAGTTGTTTGAACTATACTCCAAAAAATGGATATTTAGACTGGGAAGAATGTGGAGGAATAAGACAAGATACTTTTCCTTTAGATGGAACTTCTCTCCTTTCTTAAACATGTAACTGAAAAGTGTTCCTTTGTGTTTGTCCACAACCACAAATTCCAAACCCTTGATACTTAAAAGGCAGAAGTACTAGGCATTGTATATAGCCGGCAGGAAGCTTGATTCACGGAGTAGTCGCTATTTATATTTCAAGATTTTCAAAACAGTTGTTCAATCATTTATTTATATTTACATACAAAAGATTAACAAGCCAGAAATGCCCTTGTCAAAGGAGTATGTCCTTAAGGAAGCTGCCCATTTTTGATGTTTACCTAGAAGAAAACCAGCTACTGAATTTTGAGGTATATATTTGTGTCCTGTTTAGTAAGCAACACCTTTTGATATTGCTGCTCCAACCTATCCTGAACATGAAAAACATCCCAAAGAGTCCACTTTTTAATTTTAATATTAGAATTGCTCTGCTCTCTCTTCAGCCCTTTTCTGTTTCTTCTGAGCTTCTTGATTTACTGTTGCCTCCCCCATCAAAGAAAGCTGTTCGCCATCTCATCCTTGATAAAAAGAAAATCACTGATATCAGTAGCTGAAAGTTGAAATAGATAGCACTGCTGCTATCTAATAGCTATATACCCTTACATTAGCTTGCTAAATAGTTGCTTCTCTGATCTCCTCCCATCTTCTCCCGAGCCAATGGCATGCAGTGGCAGATGTATAATAACTTGGCCATAACTTGTGTTGTGCATTAAAAATGAGAATTCGATTGGGGTCAAGAAATGGATTGAGATGCAAGTAGCCACGTTGAACTTCTGCCAACTGCTCCTTCTTACCTATTTGAAATGATGTGGTTGTGCAGGTAGCACTCCTGAAGATGATAAAATAACCGGCTTGCTTGGGCAACTAATCACTAATTGGCGGGGGTGGGGGAAGCGCAGCGGTTAATAAACTATCAGAAGCTTTGAATTCCAGAAGTATCACTGCTGCCACCTCCAGTCAGTCTTGGAGAACCACTTACAGTAGGCATAGCTGGTAGCATCTTGAAGTTCAAAAGGCAATTACTGTATTCTGTTGTCTCCTCAATGCTTATGGGAGGTAAGCTTAAGAATGAACTATGCTTCCACACCGCTGGACGATGTTTTGAAATCATCTAAGTAGTCCAAGTACAGTGCTTTTATTCAAGCTTGCAACAAGTTGTGATCCTCCAAGCTAAATGCCGCCTCTTAGAGAAGCATTCTGAAATCTCCATGTTCTTCCAGTTCCATGCGGGCTAAGAAAATTCTTCAACAGAGAGCCAATGCCACTAGACAGTACTTTGTTTTGTTAATTCACAAGTTTATAAATCAAAACAGATTAGCGTAACTCTTAATCTACTGGCTTATTTTTCCATAAACGAACCATTTAAAAAAAAAAAAAAAAACCGTTTTTGATCCTTGGTTTAAAAGCATATACATCTTGCATTTATTTCCATTCTGGAATTAAATACAGGCGGTCCCTGGGTTAAGAACGTCCAACTTAAGGACAACTTGTACTTATGAACAAGCTGTCTATTACTAAAAATGGCAGTATTCTCTTTCTCCTGTCGATGAACTGCTGACACCCCACAATGTGTTCATGAACATTGAAGCTGCACATTTTTAATATAAATATATAAAATATAAAGCCTGTTTTCAGCTGTTTATGAAAACATTAAGTGGTTCATTGGCTCAAAGGAGAACGTGGTCCACCATTTTGAGTAACAGACAGTCTATTCGCAAGCACGAGTTCCAACTTAAGTACAAATTTAAGTTAAAGAGAAGCTGTAACTCATTTTTAACGCAGGGATTGCCTGCATTGCAATACAGAAACATCCTCACATTTTCACTCTGATTAATCCTACTTATGCTGATAGATCCATTCTGTAACATACCCTTGTATCTCTTTTTTGATCTCCTGAATGTGATAAATGCTGCTGTTTGAGCTTAATGTGGGCATTATTTCCTCACTAAAGTGTTTTTCCATTGAAACCGGTCTATCAGGGCAACCTGGTCTACCCAAATAAGGGTATGGCTAGCTGACAAGAGCTGAATAGCTTGAAATGGATCTATACTAGTCTCCGTTTATTTCTTTGTCATTAAAATATGAATTCAATTTCCTCACTAGAGTTTTAAAAATGAGCATTGGTTGTCTATTCACTGCAGATTTTAGACAATTTGGAACATGGCTTAGCAGAAGATGGAAGCATGACCAACATTACACAGGACAGCAGGCAAGGTAGGTATGCTCTTAAAACTTTTTTTTCCATAGACAGGGTGTTTGTATCACTTGCTCAGAAACACTTATAAGCTCTTACAAGATTGCTCAGAAGCAGTGCTATTGTCGTTTCTTTAGCTTTGAAGCCATGCACTCCTACTCTGCTAAATTTTGTCTTTTAATTTTATTGTTTTAATTTTATTAAATTATTATAATGATTAAATCAGTTCGTCCCTTCATATTTTGGAAAAAGAAAATGGGTGTTGTTTTAGAGTGACAGGTTTTTTATTAGAAAAAAAACATGACAGTAGGTTATAAAAAATGAGCCAAAACAGTGCTCAGTCTTTTAAAAAGTCTAGCGTATTATCTCACAAAAGTTCTTCCTGGAATTGGAGGATCTTGTTTAAACCAAAAGGTTCTCTTCTGACAAGTTAATGCCTGCTATTTTTTTTCCTGGTTTTATTTTTTGCTTATTAGGTAAAACAAACAACAAAAATAGCAAGAACAAATGTACACATCAACTTTACATTAGAGCAAAGCCTGAAGTGAAAATACAATTATAAAGAAATTAAAAAAGACAGAACAAACCTCTTCAAAAAGGGAGGGGGAAAGAGGGGGGGATAGGGAAAAGCATTCTAATAGTCTCCTTCACTTTTCTCCTCTTCTTTCCCCCAGATATTTTAATGCTATATTTGAAAGTCTGCAGTTATTGCTCAGTTCATGTTCTAAGACTCTTAGCTCGCCTTGCTATGTGACATGCTTTTGGACTCAGTCCAATGTCTCACAATAGGTTAGCCATTTATGTTTGTCAATAATTTCTCATCCATAAATGCTTCTTGTGCTGAGAGCTGCAGAAGTGTTTTGGGGCACACTTGGGTTTGTATCTATCCCATATTCTCAATATAGCATGTCTACATTTTAAAATCCACTTTAGCCTTAACTTTATTTATGCTACAGATATCCTTGCCAACCCAATCTCAGATGGTGTTCTTCTAACTCCTAACAGCCTTCTGTTTCTCAGCGATGCTCACTCTTTCATCCAAACCAAGCTGCAAGCTGCAAAATACAATTTTAAATAGCGTAGACACGCTCCTCCTCTTTCCTTTGCATCTTATAACACCTTATAATTAACTTGTAGTTTTTTTGCCCTATCACACAAATGTAGATGTTATGTCTCCCCTTTAATTACAGGTGAGCAAAACGAAATTCAGCCGTTTCAGAAATATCTCAAATCAAAAACAAACCCCCACAAGAGAACTACTGAAGTAATTCCAAAACACAGCAATAAATCCACACTCTGTCCGGCAATCCTGACATGGCAGTAATTCACAAGCCTCAAAGAGTTTGCTGCATGTTTTCACTCCCATTAGTCACTTTGCTTCTGGCGAATTCCACCAGCCCAGCCGTTTCCTTTTATCCACTTATGGAGCGTGTTAATTTCCCTAATTAGTCACTAGCTCGACGCCTCCTTCCTAATTGAGATTGACGTCTCAACCTCCTTCTATTTCTGACGTCAAGCCATAATTTCTCCAAGTTCTCTTCTTCACTGGAAAACTCTCGCATGTTTTCCTTGTTAGCCATTCCCGGCTGCTGCTCAGAGAAAGAACCAGAGGAGGTCGAAGGTCCTGACATCTCTATTAAATCAGGTTCATCTCTCCTTGTTAAATCCATCTCCTCATCCTGGCTACTATCCAAGTCACTAAGCAATGCCGGCTCATATTTCGCTGCCATATCCTCTTCGCTCGAACTCACATCTGCCAAAAGAGCAGATTCCAATCCCGGAGTCACAACATGTAGATGTAACCTTTTGCCACTATGTAAATGGTGCACAATTATGAAAACAGGTATTGTCCAAAACATTCTAGGCAAGACATTCATTTTTATCACAGAAATTCTATCCGACAATGACAATTGTATTTTCTTTCATTTTAACATGTGTTTTTAACTTCACTCCATTTAATAGTTATTTTGAAATAACATACAATTATTTCCAAATATTTTACTTCTCAATTTTAAACCCATTTTATTCATCAATTCTTCTATTTTTCTGGTTTTTTTTTACCAGTTTTCTTAGCCACTTAAGTTTAGTGGTTGTGCCCACTAGGCTAGAAAGCAGGGGACTGTGAATTCAAGTCCCACCAATGCCATGAAAGACAGATGGGTGACCTTGAGCCAGTCACTCACTCTCTCAACCCAACCTACCTCTCAGGGTTACTGTGAGGAAAATAGGAGTGGGAAGGAGTATTGTGTATGTTTGCTACCTTGAGTTATTTATAAAAATAATAAAGGCAGGATACAAATTATATAAATAATATTTTTTGTCTCATGTATGTTGATTTTACAAACTGCTGATGTACCAGATTCTATTAGTTTTTCCTTTAATATTTCAATTTTCTTTAAAGGAACCAAAATAAACAAGAGAGGAGAGATTGAACATCCCTGTATTTTTCTTTTTTTGTATCACGTTTTGTTAGATTTCTATTAATAATTATTTGTGTTTTCTGTGAAATATAAATTGATCTTACCAATTTATAAAATTCTCTCCAAAGTGCATATCTTTCAAAACTTTGAAAAAAAAAAGCCCAGTTCAAATTGTCAAACGCCTTTTCTGCATCTAAGAAAATCAGTGTGTTTTATTTTTCATTATGCTTCAGTTGAAACCTCTGCTGTTTAAAAGTAAAAATCAAACCTTCTGTTTTGTCCCATTGAAATGGAATTCTTTCCTAATCTATCAGTCAGAAAAGACTACTCTTTTCTCACTCAAAATACTAACTGGAATTTCTTTAAGTACAAATAGATATGTATTATCTTCAGTCTTGTATTAAAATGCTACTTGAAAACTTGATCTCTTGTCTTCTTCCTGACAAAGGGCACCAAGACATCCTTTAGAACATTTCTTATTCTTGCAAATCTTGAATTTAATTTATATATTTTATCAATTTCTGCCCCTGAATTTTCCTCATTCCAGTCCAAGAAGTTTGCAAAAGATTTAATAACCTTTTCCCCTAATATCTTCACTAGAATTCTCTGGAAGTGTTATAAATCTCAAATAAAGTTTCTTCTTTCTTAATTTCAAAACAGCCAAATTATCTAGCTTTCTTTCCAACTCCCTATCTATAAATTCTTACTTCCTTTCCAGAATTTCCACTTTGTCATTAATTCATTTTACATCGCCAGACACTTGTTTTACGGAGCTTTCCATCTTCTTAACTTCTTTCATTTCCTCTTTCCTCTTTATAGCTCTTTCCTCTGCTTGTTTTTAAAGCTGTCAATTTAGTATCTAGTGATTTAGTTAACCGTATTGCCCAATTGTGCAATCATTTTGGCTTGTGCAATCTTTCTGGATAAAGGAGTCACAGTGAGATTCCCCACTTGTATTCGGGACAGCTATTCCTCATGATTAGACTGCAGGAAGTGAGGGTTTTATGGTCAGCTCATTAGTTGAGTGCCTGGTGTCAACAAGCACCTCCCCCCCCCCCCCATGTAAAACAGTAAAAGTGTATGAGGATGTTTTTCTGCTCTCGCTCATCTTGTTACCACAATGGGTCATGTGATTAGGAGGGAGGAGAATAGAGCAGATAGTGATTTTCCAAATTACTGCTCTTTCCCAGATTATTTGGAGGAATTTTTCTATTTTTTTTCTTCTCTTTAGTCCATAGCTGAACCAGGTCCCATTTTAGAGCTTGTTCTTCCATTTGCCATTTTAGAGCTTGTTTTTTCTTCTCCTCCCGCACCAAATTGGGTCCAATTCTGTTTTGTTTTCAGAGACATAGTCTGTTGATGACTGATCAGAGTATCAAACCCCGTCACATAATTTTTTCCAACATTCCAGCTGGTTGGCAAGATTGAAGCTTAAATTTATTGAATTATGATCAGTGACTCACCAGATTATCTATCTATCTATCTATCTATCTATCTATCTATCTATCTATCTATCTATCTATCTATCTATCTAATATAGATAGATAGATAGATAGATAGATAGATAGATAGATAGATAGA